CAATGGTATTTTAGGAAGACTAGATGTGTGTGTGCTACGAGATGCTAAACCTTCAGCCACACCATGATGCCTACCTTAGCATGTGATATCAGCATCCTATGTCTTCATACTTATGCCATTAGAATGCTTATTTAGTGAATGTATGTAGTATTGTAACACCCCAACCCATATCCGACCCGAATACGAGTTCGAAGTGTCACATTGACTTTTCAAATCGTTTATTTTTACAAAGTAGCTGAAAATTCAAATTCACATTAAAATAAATTGAATAATTTACATTAAATACAATTATATGTTTTTATAAAACCAATCAGAGCAGATTTGACTCAAATCTTTAATTACATGCCAACTACATTCATTATAACCAAATACATACTATTCAAATTCTTTTCTGATATGATCTTCGGAAAGGAGAAGCTGACCTGACTTGCTTAACCTTGCTCCTCTTTCTTTTCAGAACCTACGTGTGAAACACTCATACGCTAAGTCGTTTACTTAGTGAGGCATATAAAACGTATAATGGAAACTTACATACTTAACCATACAAGAACATTTCATACCATCATATCATACAAATCATATAATATTTCACATAACAAAATGCATGCATACATATATATCATCATCAACATTCTTATCGTTATCAATATTTTTATCATTAATTTCTTTTATCATATAATCTTATACTTAACATTTATACACATCATATAATACATTTCACACAGCAAAACACATAACATAACATACAGTTTATTTATGTTATCTCTTTTAATAGCCCATGGTACACTTCTAAGAACTAAAGATATACGAGTGCATTGAGGTTGTGCACAAATATTGTCACCACAGCTCGTATAAATTGCACTGAATGCCATATAGAATTGTCCCGAAGGACCACATATATATCCCTAAGCACCTCGTAGAATTATCTCGAAGGACCACATATATGTCCCGAATGACCTCGTATAACCCTCAACACTTGGCATGAAAATTATACCCTCAACTATCATATCACATACTATGGGCTTACTATGGGCTTTATTATTAATAACCACTCATGTAACTTATATCACATAACCACATAATCACTTAGCTTATTATCACGTAGCTCATATCAATCTTTCATATAATCACTTAGATCATTACCATATAACTTATATCTTGATCTCTTATGTTCACATATAGCCTGTAGTATATAGAATAACATATAAACTTATACATATACTCATGTACACATTTTCATATAGTCTATATATTAATGAAATATAGCTTATCTCATATTTTTACATAATCACTTATATCACATTAATTATATACTAGTTTCATATATTCACTTTGTTCAGCTTCACATAGCTTGCTATATAGGCATGTATTCTCATAACTTATTATCACATATCTCCTATAACAATTCTCATATGGTTTCATAAATCTTTACCATAACTCATATCACATAGGAATTTCACAAGACTTATATCATAGGTTCACTTAAACACATAGATCCTCCCCATATAGTTTATCTTACATGTTCATATAATCACTCATGTAAATATCTCTTAGCTTATATCTTATTCTTATATTATTATATAGGTCAATGCTACTTAGCTGATTTCACTTTCATTTAATCACATAAATCCATTATACGAGTTCACATAGATCTAATTCCTATATTTTATACCTTGTTATCATATATTCACCTAGATCATTATCACAAAAGATAACATATAATACATATTTACATAAACATATATTTATGTACACAAATAGAAAGCATATAAACAATATACTTGCAATCCTAAAATCATACAATCAAAACATTGGAAATAGACTCATCACAAGTCTTATTTCCATAATACTATATACAATATAATATGCACTCACCTTAGCCTCACTAGTCCAAACAACACACTTATCTCTTTCTTGATCGATCTTATCTCACTGACTCATCTGGTACTTGCTTTCGTTCGATATCTACATGAAACATATAATCGATATGAATGTCTTAATTTGAATCACTATTAATCAATCGTCTATAACATAAACTATAAAAAGTACTTAATTCACAATTTCCATATGAGTAGTATTGGTACCCAAGGTACAGTACCAATACTTCTACCCTATGGTATCGATACTATACTTCAGTATCGATACCCAATTTAAATTCTGGAATTCCTCTTCAAAATGGTACCGATACTTGCTCACTGGTATCGACACTTCTTGAATAATTTATCTACTTTTTACTTATGGTATCAATATTGTTCATCCAGTATCGATACCCATACCCAAATTCATCTATTTTCTCTTTGAAGTATCAATACTAAATGAATAGTACCGATACCCCTAGCCCATAATTTTCTTATTTTAACCCGAAAATTAACTAAACTTACTTAAATCTTCCTCTTTAACCTCTTTTTAAACCTTTAAACTATAATATACTTATTAAAACTAACTTATAACACTTTAACACACTTTAACATCCAAAATTCCCATTGAACACTTTGAACCAATAATCATACCAATTATTCAACATGTTCAAATCCCTTTCTAACATTTTATATTTCTTATTTCAACTCATGACATGTCAAATTTAACCTCAACCTTCATTTACAAACTCTTTCTCAACAATTCACTTTAAACCCCCTTATATTCAATCTCTCATAATTTGTAATTCATTTAGTTTCTACTTCTCTTTTAGCTTTCGTAAGCTTTCTTAACACTCCAAAATCAAAACCAATTCTAAAATGAAAGGATTATTAAATTGAGATAAACTTACCTTATTTATGTAGTCATGGGAAGAGAAGAAGATAATTGAACCCCAATTATCCAGATTTTTCTTTCCTTTTTCCTCATCTTTCTCCACGTGTTTTATATCCCATAAAAGAAAAGATAAAAATCCTTCTTATAAAAAGACCATAATACCCTTCCCCTAATCCAAATTTGATATCAAATCCTACATAAAATTCCATAATAAATCCCTAAACTTTTCAAGTTATTCCAATCAAACCACTAAGTTTTGAATTCTTACATTTTGGTCACTGACCTGATTTTTAGGATGTTATAATTCTCCCCCTTAAGAAAATTCGTCCTTGAATTTTCACTTAACAAAGAGATAGGGAACTATCTACACACATCCTATTCACATTCTCATGTTGCTTTCCCTACTTTATGATTTCTCCACAAAACTTTAACCAATGAAATTATCTTATTCCTGAGCTGTTAAACTTCATATGCCAAAATTTTGCACAGGTTCTTCCTCGTAGATCAAATCAGATTAAATTTCTATGATCCAATTTGTCTGTATCAAATCTCAATATTTCAACTCAAACCAACTTAATGGTGTTCAACATTTCTTTTATACAAAACTTCACTTAAAACTTCGGTGGTTTCGTGTGACATCATGATCCATCGATCTTCAAGTCGAAATAGATTAGAGTGTTACACGTGACCTCTAGGAATATCTACCATTCTTCTAACTACTCAACTTTCAAATTGATCCTATTTTAATCACTCTAATTTATTTTACTATATGTTATTAATAAAATAAAATAAATTGGAGTGATTAAAATAGGATCAATTTGAAAGTTGAATAGTTAATTGAAATTTTTTAAACTTTATACCAAAATAGGAGTGAGAAGATAGTTGGGTGATGAATGATATAATTTACCCATAAAAAATATAGTGCTTTTAAGTTTTTAACGGTGAGATACGAAAATGAAATAAAAACTAAATTTAGGTATGGTTTTAAAAAAATTAAAAATTTATGTACTAAAATATATCAAAATTGATAGTTTAAATATTAAACGTACAATTTATCTTATTTTCTTTCATAATAATTAAAATTTTATTTATAAGATAAGTATCTAGATTATATTTTAATTAATTTCATTTTTCATTTTTTTATTAAAATAGTTAAATAACATTTTTTATAGTCATTTTAGGATTGATTATTCTTTAGAGATAGTTATTCTCCATTTATAAGTCATTCAAGTTTTGTAATTTTTTTTTTGCTTAATTCGTCGTTATAAAAGAAGTTGAATTGAAGTGTTTACATAGTATTCTTCTAGTAGCTGAATTTTAAGTTCCGTTTAGTTTTAAAAAACAAATATTATTTTTATTTTCATTTTCTTAAAAAATAAAAAATGTAAAATAAAACATATTTGGTTGTAAATTTAGAAGACGATTTATCGAAAATGTAAAATAAAGAAACCTGAGATCTAATTTTTTAACTTATATGGATTTAAATCATTTTAACAATATATTTTTGACTGAATGATATATGAAACCCTTGAACTTCTACAAAAAATTCAATATGGCACCTAAATTTTTTTACACTCAATATAATCCTTAAAATTAAATTTTAATAATTGATTTTTTAATATTTTAATATTTAATGTATTGAGTATAAGCAATTATTTATATTTTTAGTATATGAACAATTGTTTATATTTTATATTTTTATTTTAAATAAATAAGTTCTCAAAATTTCTAAAAGAATCAATTATGCCATTAAACTTAGCCAAAAAATCAATTAATTACATCTATCTCATCATTGTTCATCATGTACTGTCACAACAGTATCATAAATTCTCACATCAATATTATAGATTGTCATGTAAGTTTGTGAACTGTCATATAAGCATCGTGACAATCAACGTTTGATTCCATTCTTCAAAGATTTAGATTAATTGTTTTTAATACGAAAAACATTCATGGCTACACTAATTTCCCCCTAAAAGTATGAGGGTCTCAATTACCATTAAGTATATTTTTTATTTTAATAACACTTTTGTGTGCTCTTGCTAATAACAATATTTTTTTAAATTTAATTGATGTCCAATACACAATAACATTATATTCTTATTATAAACTAAAATAAATTTTATGTTATCAAATTTCTTATAAACTTTATTGTTTTATATTTGGATAACTCACATGTACTTAGAGAGATTGGAGAAGGTTGCCGGAAACGTTGAGAGATTGGAGAAGGTTGCCGGAAACGTTGAGAGATTGGAGAAGGTTGCCGGAAACGTTTAGAGTCTTGAGCTTAGAGAGACAGCCAATGGAGTTGGGAGACACTTGAGCTGATTGGAGTGCACATCAAACGCTACCACATTCAGTAATCTCGCCGTCAATGACTCCGGTATGCTCTGTACATATACATATCAAATTTAATTCACAAATTACTTGTATTTAATATTTATAATAAATCTAATCAAATTTATTTCTTTTACCATCCAAACCAAAATCCACCATTTCGTGCAACGCAAAAGTCAAACCCTAACATTATTATAATTGAAGATACTAATTTTTTTATCCATATTATTATTATTATTATTATTATTATTATTATTATTATTATTATTATTATTATTATTATTATTATTATTATTATTATTATTATTATTATTATTATTATTATTATCATTATTATTATTATTATTAAATATATATTAAATACATATATAAATAATTAATTACAGGCCCAATTACAACTGGACCGGCCCAGTTACAAACAAACCAGAACCGGTCCAGATCAAACCAGAAACCCTAAACATTTGGGGGTTTCAGTTAGGGTTTCCTAAACCCTAATCCCAGCCGCCTCATCATCACAGCCGTTGGATCTGAGAGATCCAACGGTCCTCAGATATGCCAGAAGAAACCCTAGGGTATCATTACCCTAGGGCCACGCGCCGCCGCCCCAGTTTCTAATCACCGCTGCCGACACTCTTTCGCCGCCTCCGCCGCTGCCACGTTCCAAATGAAGACTCCAGAAGACCAGCTGCCCTCCACACGCCATGGCTACGGGGTGAGTCACCACTGGTAGTCCGGTGACTCACCGAGACCCCCTCTTCGGACCGGTCCGACGGCCACACCGGTGGTGGCTATAAAAGCCACCACCCGAACCTGAAAAAAAAAGGGAGAAAAACAAAGAAAAAAAAAAGATACAGAGAAGCAAGAGACAAAATCGAGAAAAAAATATATATACAAAATACTACCAACGATCTCAGCAGCAAAGAAACAGAAAAGAAAGAAAAAGGAAGGAAAGAAACTTACCGAGGAAGCCTCGACCACCGGATCTCGCCGGAACCTTCGAAACGCCGAAGGTATTTTTGTAGATTCGCTCCGATTCAGAGCTTTTTAAGGGAAAAGAACACCGGGACCGTCCTTAGGACGGTCCGATCTATCTATTAGTGTAAAAATAAATTTTTCCGGCCACCGAATGCGGTGGCCGACGGTGATATTCACGGCGGCACACGGTTGCCGTCCGGTGACCGGCTTTCCTCCGATGAGGGAAGCTAGAGAGAAGGCAGAGAACATTTTTGTTCTCTCTGTTAGAGAGAGAACAGAGAAAATGAAATGAGAAGCTGGCCCGTAGGGCCAGCCGGTTTGGGTTATAAATACCCTCTCCCAAACGACGTCGTTTCGGGGAGGGTATTTCTGTAATTTCACAAAGGGTAAACCCCGTCCGTCGTCCCCCTAATTTGTAAACATTACATTTTAGTCACTAAATCGATTTTATAATATTTTTAATTCAGTCTTCGAATTTCAATTTTATTCATTTTAGTCCTTTATAATAAAATAATATATTTAGGATAAATAACAGTTTTAACCCCTTAATTTTAATAAATAATATTTTAATCCCTAGTTTATATTTTTAATTTATTTTATTATAATATCCGAATTTTAGATAATTTTATTTTAGTCACTAAATTATAAAAAAAACGAAAATAGCATGTTTAATCCCTGTAATTCTGATTAATTATGAATTAGGTTTTTCAATTTTAATTTTACTATATTTTAGTCATTTATTTTAAGTATTTTTTATTGCTTTTAAGTATATAGTTAGAATTATATTTTTTTATTTGTTTATATATTTAAATATTGTATAAATATATAATAAATAATATTTTAAATAAATTATTTTAATATTTAATTTTCAATATCAAAGAAAAGGACAGTCTTAAAACAACTGGATGTCCTATTCTGATATTTTAAAATTAAAAATTAAACACTATTATTTAAATTAATATTGATCAATATCGAAGAAAAGAGCTGTCTTAAGGCACCTAGAAGTTCTTTTCTGATATTTTTAAATAAATATTTTTTAATAATAGGATTATAAATCAAATATATTTTTGAATTTTTTAATTTTAATAATAGAGACAATTTATAATTAAAAAGTACCAATTTTGGGCGTTGTAGGGGTGCTAATCCTTCCCTAAACGTAACCGACCACGAATCCCTTTTTATTATTAAAAAGAACGAATTTTTGGTTGTAAAACGCAGATCAGTTCATTTTTTTTTAAAATTGATGTTTTCTTAAAACTCTTTTAAAAAAAATAATAATAATAATTTAGGTATTCGACTTACCTGATCAAAAAAGTCGATGGCGACTCATAAATTATTTTCAAAATTATTTATTCACATCAATTTCCGCCAAAATAAATATTTCGTGCCCGGACGAAAACCGGTTACGACAGCTTGGCGACTCTGCTGGGGACCCTGGTCAAACTTTTAAAAATCAATTATAAATTATCTCTATTAATTAAAAATTAAAATTTATATATTTAATTTTTAATTCTTTCTTTTCAAATTTTTTATTTATTTATTATTTTTATAATATTTATATGTTTTATTTTATTTGCAAGTATTTTATTTCAGTATTTATTTTTCTGTCAAAGGTTTGAACATTTCTCCTCACACACAACACTTGCATTGCATAACATAAAAGCTCTATAATTGAGTTTGTCCCTTTTAAGTGGGAGTGAAAGCGACGTCTTCGTGAGAATTTATTCTCCGTGTCAGACCTAGCAAGTAACTTCCGGGGTTCATATGCTCTATGTCTTCGTGAGAATTTATTCTCCGTGACAGGCATAGAGAAATGTATCCCCTCGAATTGAACTCGATCCACTTTAGTCTGTAATGGACTAGGATTGAGAGTTAGCAACCCAAGGGGGCACTAACAAAGGACAATTCGAGTACCTTTACTCCTAGATCTGAAACCCTGCATATAAAAAACCTTAGAAACTCTTCCGATCCGAAGTTATGCCGAAATTTTGTTTAAAATAGATGTACACACAGGAGAAATGAATTCTAACTTTCTAGTTTATTTATTTTACTGATTAAATTACATGTATATTTAAATTATTTAAAGCATGTTTAAATAAAAAAATATTTATGTAAATGTTATTATTAAATTTCTTTATTATGTAAACTAATTTATTTTCTTTTTGTGTGTTATTTATTTTTCTGTTTGCATAGCATCATACATGATAAAAGACATTGATCCTTGTGTTAATTATCTCATTGGAAAGCCTTCATCTATGGATAAAAAGTGTTCAAATGAAGTAATTCTGAACTCAGAAGTAAGACAGTGGGCTGAGGATTTACAAAGACAAGAAGGAGACAGTTTACAGGATGATTATATATCTGACTTGGCCAGTTATGCTCCAGTTTCACTAAAAAGAAATGATACGCAAGATTTGCGAAGCATTTGGGAAAGTTGGGATTCAAACAAAAAATTGCAGTTTTATCAGACTTACGGAGACATCCCATATTTGCTCTATGTAGAAGTTGATGATGAATTACTCCGAGCCCTAATTCAATTCTGGAATCCAGGGTACAATTGCTTCACTCTCAATAAAGAGGATTTGGTCCCTACTATTGAAGAATACACAACTTTGCTACATATAGATGGGGCTTTGGAGAATCGAATCTATTCAAAGTCAATTAAAACTCAACCCTTTCGAGTTAAATTAGCAAAGATTGCTGGGGTACGAGAAGAATGGGTGGCATCCCGTACAAAACAAAAAGGCGAAAGCGAAGGCATTGCTTGGACCAACATTAGAGAACTTATTCAAAGCCATCCAGATATTAAAGTACGATTCGATTTATTTGCTCTGGGTATATATGGTATGGTCATCTTCCCAAAAGTATTGGGATATGTTGAAGCTGCAGTGATAGATTTGTTTGAACAGCTACCGAAAAAGATTAATCCTGTTTCTGCAATTCTAGCAGAGACCTTCAGATCGTTAAATGCTTGTAGAAAGTTAGGAGGTGGACGATTCTCAGGGTGTACCCAGTTGTTATATGTTTGGATCCGTAGTCATTTCTGGAGGACAGAAAAAGTTTCATACCGACGCTTTAATGCGGATTACTCACCATTAAAAGAATTTCTGGAGCAGGAATGGCCGAAAGAAATTAAGAAAGATATGTGGATTAATGCCTTTCGAAATATGCAAAGCAATGACATTGTTTGGCGAGCCCCGTGGCAAATACAAAGGGAATTCATTTACAAATGTGGAAATTACAACTGGATAATGTTGCTCGGATTATGGGGAGGAATTGGATATGCACCACTTCTGGTCATAAGACAGTATGAAGGTCGTCAATTTGTACCTGTCACTGCTGGATTACAGTCATCTGAATTCACATTCCACAGCAAAAATTATAAAAGAAATATTATGGAAGCCGTTACCGCTTGGAAAACAACTTTTTGTATCCGAGCTAAAGCAGCAAAAGAAATGCTAACTCCTGATTATGAAGAATGGAGATCTGTCAGAAAAAACGAAAATATTCCTCTACCAGATCAAAATGAGGATATCTCTATGGAAGATCGCATTAAGGTGGTTCCGTCAGAGATTGAAATCTTGAGAGCTGAGTTTGAAGCAGAAAGAGAAGGCTGGTCGAAAGAATTAGAGCAAATGAGACAAGATAAAGCTATGTTGGGGATTGACATTGACTTTCATTCATCACAATGTGCAATGTTGAGAAAAGATAAAGAAAAAGGTGAGGATGAGTACAGAGCCTTACAGAAAAATTACCAGGAGTTATATAAATCCCGGAAAGCATCAGGATCAAGCCAAGCAACAATACAGATGACTAGAGAGTTGAACATCGAGAAAAGACGAGTTGAAGATCTGAAAGGAAAGAATAGCCGTCTACTCAAAAGCCTTGAGAAAGGAAAGCAAAAAATGGAAGATTTTGAGGTCGACAGAAGAGAGCGAATTATAAAACACAAGGCTGAGCACCGCGAGATCATGAATGAAATGCAAAGAGAAAGAGATCGAGCCAAAGATTTAGAAGAAATGAAGAATGACATCTTTAATAAATTTGAAGGTGAGAAAAATATCATGTTCAAGGGATT